CCCCCCCCCCCCCCCCGGGGGCTTATTTATTTCAAGTTCATTTGAGGGGGGAGGGCTTATTTTAGAGGGGGGCTTATTTAATTTAGAAAAGACGATGGTCTCAGTTCTGTGTAAAGAACTAGAATACAAAGTGGAAAAGCTCAAGTACAAGAAGGTTGGAGGCCATGCACTCGAGGATCAGAATAAAATCCGAACTTCCAGTTGGTAAATAAACCATCCCGGATGTTTACGTTATAATCAAATCAACTTTCTGTACTCTACACAGGATGCGTTCAGCGGTTGCCAGATCCTGCCATGCTCTCACAAGGTCCATAAGGAGTGCGCCATTGCTATGATTCAGAACGGAGTGTAAGTGGCTAACAGCAGTAGATAAATACAAATAAAAAGTAAGAAATAATGATTTTTAGGTCGCACGTCTACCTCTACGTCTAACAGGCCATTTCTGATTGAATTGGAGTCTGGAAATGTTGTTTTCGGGGAGATGGAAATAACTGCAGTACCAAGAAAAAACCCAACGGATTAAGGGCGTGCACCAAAACTCAACCCCCTATAGCCCCCCCCCCCCGCCATTTCCAAAAAATAATATTAAATAAAGACTCACCAAGAGGAGAATCTCCGCAGCCTCTTCTAATTCAAGCCAGATACCGAAGTGATTCATATAATTTATTTTTCTTTGTTTGCTTCTGTCTTTCAGACGAAACTGTCCGATATGCCATCATCCCTTGTTTAGCCAAGACTCACAGTAGAGATGAAGAAGTAGAGAAGGACCGTTCAGGAAAGTCCTGGATTTCGAGTATACAGCCGCTATCAGGTCTTATAAATAATAAAAATATTTGTTGTTTACTGTAAAGTTGTCAAAGCCATGCAAAACTGAAACAACGCAGTCTGCTTAGAGCAAAGCCCTGACTTTATAAGTAAAGGCAAGGAGCACAGCTCGGAAATTAAACAAATAAACAAAAACAGATGCGAAACACTCATGCGTCATATTGTATTTCGGTACGTTGGCTTTTTTCAACTTTATCGTTAAAGGTTAAACAAAAAGCCATACTAAAACGACGAAGCCGAATGATCTCGCTTAATCATTGGTTTTTGGCTTTCACTTTTAGTTGAAACTATTTGAATTCAATTTGTTCGTAGGGTATGTTAAAAACTGTTAAATTGACAGATATATTTCAGTATTTAGTACAGTAGGTCTAACTGATAAGTAAATGGCGTGAGATTTTTATTCAGTAAAATATATTTTGCCCACTTTTATAAAACACTTTGGATGTTTCCTAAAGCGCCCATTGTATCAGTTTGGAGGTCAACGTTATTCAGCCCAAATAAACTACAATTTATTTACTGTATTACATGTAACAAGTAGATTATCCTTGAAAATAGCTCACAGTCTTAATTCCCCGTGGCATTGTTTATTATGCTGTGCAAGGTGGGAGTAAATCTACCTTTTAGGTCCGTTGATGAAATCCGTAATTAAATGTAAGCATTAAAAGGAAAATGTTATGTTTTTGTTATGTTAAAGTGTCCTCTGATCTCAAATATTCGCCTACATCAGCTTGATGAAAGCAGACTATATCAGTGGGGTTGACCCGTCGGCAATCCTGTGTTGAACGAGCTGTGGCACCAAATCCCTGTCAAGGAAAGTAAGCCAAATGAGCCACGACAAAATCCATAGTTGTGGAAGATAAAGGCTGCGCTAATAAACCCTGAAGCTATGAAATCCAGGATGCCCATCAAATATATATTAGAGAACGTTAGCAAAAAAGGAGGTGACGTCTAGGAAACGTGAAGTCGCACTGCTTCAAACTTTATCGCGCTTATTCCATCTCGTTCAGTTCGTCAAATGTTGGCAATTTTTTCCGGAATTGAATTCTAAGTTCAGGAAAAGAAAAACAAAGTCGGTCGTTGTCTTGTGTTCACGTCCCAGACAAAACGTAAAATTAGGCATTTTCACGTCGTAGTCGTACAACGACGGCAAAGAAATGCTTAAAAAAAGCGTGATGCACGTTTACGTTCTCGTTGCCGTCGGCGTCGTCGTTGCTAAAGCTCCCGATTTTCACGTCGTAGTCGTGCAGTGACGGCCAAGAAATGTACAAAAAAGCGTGATACACGTGCAGAGTTGTTATTTTGCTTAACTAAGGTCCCGTCCAAACGTATTGAGCGTTTTCACATGACGTCACGGAGGCCATATTGGTGTTCCAAAACAATAAAACGGCTGCCATGTTGATGTTCCAAACCAATCCTGTGGGAGTTGAACTCTTTTCTTATGTAAACCTTTTCTTTTGTTCCCATAAATTTGCATAGATGCTGGTCACGCGAGTGAAAACGCTCTATCCGTTTTTGTTTGAAAACGGATATTTTTTTTGTCCAGTTTGGCCTACCATCCACACGTATCCGGTGAAAAACGGTCACCGAAAACGCATCTTTTCAAAAACGCTCTCCAGACTGGAGATTTTTGAAAACGCCGGCTTTTCATTTACATGTGGACGGACGAAAATGGAGGTTTTCGAATAGATGATGTCATACATCACATACTTCTAGAAGGACGCATGCTCAATACAGGAAGCTATCGTACTTCTATTGTTGTAGCGTTTTCGTGTGGACGGGCGGAAATGATTCGAATATGCTACGTGTGGATGCGTTTTTTTGTACCTTTCTTAGCCGTCGTTGCACGACTACCACGTGATAGTGCCTAATTTCACGTTTTGTCGAGGGCGCAAACACAAGACAACAACTTCCTTTTTCTTTTCCTGAACTTTGATACACTCTTTCAGAATTCAACTCCAGAAAAATTTGCCAACAATTGAGGAATTGAACCAGTTGGAATTATCGCGATAAAGTTTGAAGTAGCGCGAATTCACTTTTTAAATGAAGGTTTCGTAGGTTTCAAGTCTTTTCGCCCGAAAGTCGTTTCGCCCGATAGCAGTTCGCCCAGACTAAGTCCATTCGCCCAAAGTGTATTTGTCGTTCTTCAAGCCTGGAAAAGGGAATAAGCATAGAAAGACAGTGACCGCACGTGTGGAATCCAAGGGTAACTAAAGTAACACCTCGGAAGGTATGTTCACCATGTTGTACAGTGTTGAATGTGATCGAGCGAATCGACTAATTTCCTGGCGAACGCCGTCGGGCGAATCGACTTTCGGGCGAAACGACCGCAATTCGTTTCGTAGCCGTCGCCGTCGTTGTTGCTTAAACTCCCTATTAGTGCACACACAACAGGGACTTAACAGAAGCCAGCTATGGCTGGCCAGATGGTTCCTTTAAAATGAAATGGGTTTCCTCCACAGTTTTTGCATTTTACAACCTACCACTGCTGTGCACACTATTAATATATAGAGGATATTACACGGTGGCGAGAAGATATGAATTTTATGTTCTCGTGGCAAAAACAATATCTCACTCGTTCGCTTCGCTCACTCGTGAGATATTGTTCTTGCCACTCGAACATAAAATTCATATTTTCGAGCCAACGTGTAATGTTCTTTTTATTATATGGAGAAACCAATTCAACAAAAGCAAAAGGCGGGAATCGTGACGTCATTGAACGATACGACACTCACAAAGGTGACATACGGAAAATACGCCACTCGGGTCCCGGATGAAGTGGTGTATGGAATCTACGAGTGGTTTAGTTCCCAGTAAAACAATCTCCTCCATATAATAAAGACTAATCTGACTCGATGGCAGCATGGCTGAGCAGTTAGGCTCCGAGCTCAAGTACCGCACTGACCGCTAGCTGGATTTGCTCTGGATAGTCCTGAGCTGAATTATTTGTTCCATTATCCTCATAAGGAAAGACGATAATTAAGTATTTATTAATCATCATTATTATTTTATGATTATGGTCCTTATTTATGACTGAACTGGTCTGCGTGGCTGCTATTGACTGCAGGTACCAAAGACAGATTACATTAAACAGAAGAAACTATAGAACCAAACAATAAAACTCCCAAGGAAATTTTATTGTTTGGTTTCTTTGTTTGTTTCTGCTGTTCTAAAAGTACCTGCAGAAGCAAATCAAAGTCAATAAATTCTTTAGACAGAGCAAACTAAAGGTCATATGTAAAATTCCAGGCATATTTGGAGACAAGACTATAATAATATTGCAGAAATTCTCCACTGAATGCATTAGACTGTGCTAAGTCTCTTGCAAGGGTAGGTAGTTTCATCACATCTCGCCTGTTCTTCGGGAATTAGGGTGGCCCTCCATCAAAGATCAGTTATTAGTCCGTGATACTACCCACGTGCACAAAATTGTTAATAGCCTCGCTCCGTTGTACTTGAGTAGTAAACTCAGTAAGCGATCAGACGTACACAATTACAACACAAGTAGCCTGTTCCAGGCTCTCAGATAGTGGGGGAGGGGCGAAAGTAAAAGGCATGCGAAAAGTTGGCGTTTTACTTTCGTCTTCGCGCTCTCTCAATTCAGTGGGCCCAACTATCACGGAGCCTGGAACAGGCTACAACACAAGGAAAAGGGACAATCTAAATCTCCCTCTATGCAGAACAGTTACTGCGCGACGGTCATTTTACTATCGCACTGTAAGTGCCTGGAACTCTCTGACCCCAGACACTAGAAATAGCCCGTCACTATGTACCTTTAAGAGGGGTGTTAAATGCGAATTATGGGAGCAGACCCCATACGTTAAATAGTGAATAGTTAATATTTGTTTTAGTTTAGATCTTCAAAGAGATAATGTAATTGTACGCACATAGTTTATGCTTTCAGTTTTGTACCAAGATTGCAATCAATTTAAGCTTTTTATTCTTATCCCCTTCTTTTTTAGCATTTGTAAATTAACTTCAGAATAGCCCTTTGGGAGAGTTAATAAAACTTATTGTATTATTGTATTGTAAAGGGGGGCCTTTTTTAATATTGAATATTTGTTTGAGCCCAGTTTGTAGTACAGCTGTAGGGCTACATTCTACTCACAGTCTGTAGTTCAGCTCAAAACTCAGCTCAGAAGCACTGTTTGACCATGGTGGAATGGTAGATTTTATAAACTATTTTGATGTTCAAGACATGTCCCACTCAAACAAAGACTTTTAGATGACTACAAAGTTTTTCCCAGACAAATTTTTACTTCTAGAAGTGCAAAATTGTCGGAAGATAGAGTGAAGTGATTGCATATTAGTGAAGAGAAGGGTAAGCTGCATTTTGAAGCAAGGGTGAGAAACACTTATTCTTGAGTTCAATTCACTTACCAGTGGAAGATCATTCATGGAGTAAACAATAACACCTTGGTATTGTGGAGTATTTTCTGTTATTCTTCCTAATCCAGACTTCAAAATATGATTTCCATATAAAAATGACTGCTCCCCAGATGGTTTGACCCAGATTTTATACTGAGAGGTAACAAAATCAACGTCACACTTTACTGTTATTTTGCCGGATAAGCCTAGAATTACAGATTGGGTTTTTGTTTTCAACTCATTAGAAAAATTCCATTGTGAGTATAATTATCATTATAATTATCATTATTATTATTATTATTATACAAAATATTCTTCACTTTCTGGTTGGCTAAAATCCTACGCATAATTTATCATAACCAGCTACTATTGACCAAATTTGGAAGGATTTTGCAATATGTGAAAAATGATGTCAATTGTGGATTATAATGACCAGAAAACTGAACAGTTAACCAAGAAGACCTGGGGACAAGGCTGAATTGTTTTGGTAATGAGTACAAAATGGCGGATTCACAAGGAAGAAATAGGCAACTATTGGCTAAAAACATAGCACGAGTAGCAAGAAGACAACTCGATAGACGACATCTGCTATTTGGAGACTATTAGCAAAACTGAGAGACACATCTCCTAGACTTGCTGATAAACACGCACTATCGAAGAATGACTAGGAATTATTTTGAATGAATAATAAAACAATAATACTTGTTTAATAAATTTATTGTAAGCTATTTTCAATGATTATTATTGAATTCGGCTTACGTATCATCTGAAGAATTATGGAGATCTCGGAGGCTGTTATCTGCCAAGCCCAGTTTAACACCCTCCCCGATCTCCATAATTCTTCAAATGATACTCAGCCTCATCAAATAATTGCTAATTAATACCATAAATCCTCTATTAAGCCCCCTGAGGGGCTTATTTTTTCAAGCACTTTTGAGGGGGGGCTTATTTAATTTGGCGAAATGCATCAGTTGAAGCAAGGTTTCTTGAGGACAGACTTGTGGTTACCGGATGCTATACTGCTTTTTCTAACAATAAGAAAACGGTAACAATTCTCCACAGAGAACGAAAGCACAAAGTTGAAAAAGTTCAGGACATAAAGTTGGAGGTCATGCAGCCGAAGACCAAAAACAATATGAATTTTCAGCCTGAATAAACCATGACTGATCACTCCATGTTAATTTTTTGTGAAGAATAAGGATGGAGGGGACGGGGAGGGGAGGCTTAATAGAGAGGTGGGGCTTAATAAAAGATTTATGGTAATTATTGAAACTGTGGCATTCACTTTTGATTTAAGTTTTAGGTCTGTGGCACAAAAGTAAGTAATAATTACATGTGTAATAACCATAATAATAATAATAATAACGATCATCATCTTCATCTGGATAAGTGCTTCAGAATATTGGAATAAGGGTAAGACCTGGGAACATACAGAAGGCCGTGTTACTAGAAACTGAAACAATACTACAGAGAGTTCTTGAGACTTGAGAGGTGGCCAGACCCTCGAGACTCTTGGTTACTAGCCGTAACCTGCTCCAAGGAAGTTTTCTGGTCGACTAGCAGAACTAAGTCTCATTAATGATCATAATAATAACACCAGAAACAATCACGAAACAAAAAGAAAAACACCAGGCTTACCTTAGCATAAGGTGCCATGAAGTCAAGAGCAGTCACATGAAGTCTGAATCGTTTTGTCTTTGTAAACTTGCCGATGCAGGTTCCCACGCTTATGAGGTTCTCCCTTGCAATATTTGTTGCCTTTCTCATGATTTGCTCGCTGCAACAAAATAAAAGAGGTATTAAAAGCACAGAGCTCGGGTGCTGGTACAAGCTGTATAGGCTAAAAAGAAGTTATCTACTGTATAGTACAATGTACATTGTATTGTATTCTTGTAGTATTGCATAAATTGCTTGTTAAGAAGTTTATCAAATATTACTGGAAAAAATCTGGAAAAAGTGATAACTTTCATCAAACCTCCTGAACCTTTTCACTGGTAAGGGTGGTGAAAAACGACCAGCGTAAAGCACCTCTCCTCTCAGAAGAATTGGAGACGGGATTTTTTCTGAGGGGAGGGAGCACAAAGGGTAGTGAAAAAAAAAAAATCACAATTCTCACAGGTTTCCCTGCGTTATACTACTACATGAGAAATTTCTGCAATTTTATTGGCTTAGTGCAGTGTTATTTCAGCTAAATTTGAAATACCTACATGTGAAAATTACAAACCCTTTGCAGGTAGTAGTATAAACAAATAATAGCATGATTTGTGCATGATATTTGGCTGAAATACCACTTGTGATATTTCAAAATTGTCTCAAATTTCACTTGCCTAAGGGCTTGTGAAATTATCCATAACAATTTCGAAACATCACTCGTTTTTTCTGAGGAGAGGGAGCGGCTGTGCAAAGGCTAGTGAAAAAGGAAAAAATTCACAATTCTCACTGGTTGCCCTGTGTTATACTACTGCATGAGAAATTTCTGCAATTTGATTGGCTTAGAGCAGTGGTACTTCTGCTAAATTTGAAATAACTACATGTGAAAATTACAAACCTTTTGTGGGTAGTAGTATAAACAAATAATAGCATGATTTGTGCGTGATATTTGGCAGAAATACCACTTGTGATGTTTCAAAATTGTCTCAAATTTCACTCGCCTAAGGGTTTGTGAAATTATCTATAACAATTTCGGAACAGCACTCGTGGTATTCATGCCAAATATCACTACAAATCATGCTATTACCTATACAAATGATGTCTGAGGGATGAGTGCAGAACATACCTACCCTTACATGTACATCTACATAAACTTAGTACAACTGTAAGTGACAGTTTTTACATAGTTTTACATATTGAAGCATTATCATACATGTACAAACAAACCTTTCCTTACTTTTAGGGGACTATCACCGTATAAAAGGAAAACAAGCACGCTCAAGTGCACGAGCAAAATGACAAGTTTTAGTAATACGATGAAAAAACTCATTTCTTATTAATTTTTCCTGATTTTAGCTTGTGGTAAATTCTACATCTGGCATATATGTTACAGGTCAAAATTAACTTCTGGTTAAGATTTTTTAACCTAGGTTGATTCTCAATTTCCTTTCTCTCCTACTCCTAGTTTGTGAAAAATCTGTGCTAGGAGACAAAGGAAATTGAAAATCAACCTAGGTTAAAAAATTTTAACCTGAACTTTATTTTGATCTGTACCATAAACATTTGTCATGTTGTCGCATAAACTCGTCATTTTGCTCATACAAAATGCCTTAAATAATGCACAGATACTGCCAATATTTGTTGTCTTTTAAGGAGAACTCTTTTAAGAAACCATGTCATAGGTGCCAACTTGAGTTAAACATTTTGGATGGTTATTAAACCTTTGGGAAGTTTAATTGAAACGTGTAAATGCCAGGGCTCCACAGTTTTTTAAATATAAAAGATAAAAATTTCAACCTACCTGACATAGTAAACTCGTTCTTCGTGAAGTCTGAAACAATAATTTCCATCTGGTCTATCTATGAGAAGTTTGATGTTGTCTCCGATACTAAAAAACCATCGTAAAAGAAAAGCTTGAAAAATGCAATGTTTTGTTTCTACAGCTTCAAGAAAATTAACTTGAGTTTACATGTGTTTGAAAGGATCAAGATAAACAACATGGACTATCAATCACGCTACTTACTATTTTGCTAGTTTTTCAAATACGCTGCGTGTTTCTTCTTCAGTTAAAGGCCTCATTTTAACAAAAAATCTGTTTATACTTGTGGAGGATTTTCACGTGCTTGCTTCGTTCGTCTCTACACGAGACTGCAATCTGTCAGCGGTTTCAACCAAAAGCCAGGTTACCTGACACAGGTTCCACTTGGTTGCCTATAGCAACGTTGTTAAAGGGCTTCAAATTCCAAAACATAATGGTGTTACATGTAGGAAAGGCAAAAGATTTCCGTATTCCACAACTCCATGAAGCTGGTTATCTGTACCACCTTATAAAATAATGATTCCTTTAGACAGCGCAACAGCCATATTGCCTAGAATGCCGACGGGAAGGGCTTTAGCCGCGGAGTTTCCACTGACAATTATCAAGCCTCCACTACTGGATACAAAATGCAGGTCAAATTCCCCAGCGGTTTCCAGCCCAATCTATCGACTGCTACAAAGTAGAAATCGACGAAGAAACAGTTCGGCATCTTCCGTGCAAAGTACTCTTAATAACAGGATTGAATCCACGGAATTCGTGACGGAAAGAGTTCAAGTTTTTGAATTGAGAGACTCATCATGTCAACGCTCAAATGTTGACTCCGTTTCGCATCAGAATCAACACCAAAATACAAGTACATTGCGTGACAATATAGTAAGTTACTGTCGAGAGGAATCTCCGACTTCTCGGCGAAACAGTTCAATGGAATCAGTTAAAGAACGTTCTATTTCAATAAAGGAAGAATCTTCAGGTGAGATTCTAAATTAATGGTTGTGGTTATACAATGGATGATATTTTATAGCAAACTATTGCCCAGTCATTGTTTTGAGTTGCACTGAAACGCACCCGGAAGTTTTAGTTTTCCTCTTTCAATGTGTTCTGAAAACCATTGCTCCATGCATTTAATAATGAAATCTTCTATTCTGGGAAGTCAACATTCTTGTAGTTGAATTTCTTTTGAAGGTTGGCAAAACCCAGACCAGTGTCCATGGTTTTGGAGTTTGACAAAATTGTGAAACTTTCTGGTGCCACTCTTGTGATGCCATTGCCAGAAATCATGGCAATCATCGTGCAAATCACTATTTCTGTCATCCCAGACCCCAAGTTGGTGCATTTGTTCTCAGCTATGTGGGAAAGCTTTAAAACAAAATTTTACCTTGAGGATTGGGAAGAGACATGGAAGGGGGAAAGGGGGAGTTGGTTTCTCGTAAAAGGTCATACCTCAGTCATGATTTTCTTTCTTGGGTTCTTTCTGCAGAGGACATGAATTTTACTTCATGTAAAATATACTGACTGGCCTTCTTATCAATAATTTCAGAATTAACACCAGACCTCAGTGATGAAGATAGTAGACAGCAATACAATTTAACAAACTTGACACCAGAAACTCAACAAGCAGATAATTCCCTTGTTATAGAAAATAAACCACCAGAAAAGTCAGAGAAAAGGAATAAAAAGAAATCATTAAAAGCTAAGAAAACTAATAAAAAAAGAAAAAATTCTCCTAAGAAAGGTGTTGCAGTGAGTGGTATGTTTGCAAGACTGGTTGGACGTGGGCATACAAATGAACAAGACGGTAACTAATATTAATGTAATAGCTTTTAATTACCCATTTAATAGTAATAACTTTTAATTACCCATTTTATTCAGGGTGATGGGTAGTCATATTTAACTTATCCTGAGGGAAACGCCAGATTTCTCTATAAAGAGAACTGTCAACCACAAGTCAACATACGTGTATGATTTCTGCATTTTACATGCCCTGTACATGTAAAGCAGCCCACTAACTAAAGCAAAAATTACAGTCCTCAGAGCATTCAATTTGATTGTTGTCAGATACATCATATAAACCAAGGATGTATAAAGATACAAGACTGGTTCCAAAAGTTGCAGCATTGTTAAACTTTTATATTAAGTCTTACCATGTTCATCTCTTAAAATGATAACAAGTCCATTCTTTAAATAAAAAGCACTAAAAATAATCTTTATTGTTATCCCATTGTATATAATTATGCTTGCTGTAAATATAGATGTATGTTCTAGTGACTTGTCAAAGTCATCACAATCATATCCATACGATAGTAGATTTAATTAAACTACAACCTACACATGCAGGTACAGTGATAACATTTTTAACAAGAATATTGTGTATTTTTAGGCCATCAAGTCAACTCAGATCAAAAGGTGAAAAATGGACTACATTTACAACAGACAAGAGACACTTCCCCAAATAAGTACCTAAGTGTTCAAAAACTAAGAGCAGCTTATGCTCCAAAGAAACAAGAAATCAAGAACAACAAAGCAACTGTTCTTTTACCACGGGTCTCTAACACTAGCTTAACTAACGACAACACAAGGAGTTGTACCTCTTCTCCAAGGAAACAGGAACAAGAACAAGAAAGCATTTCTACTGCTCCGTATCTATCATCCCCACGTAAACTACTGAACTCTCATGATGACAACAGAGTGAAGAAAGTTTATCTATCTGAGACACATTCTGGGATGATCACAGGGATACCATGTGCCCCACCCAGTACACCCACTGTGGGTATGTAGTGCTGCCTTATTGTTAACAAACGGTACTAGTTTGTGAGTTAGTTAGAGTAAGTTTATTTAAGCTTCAATAATACCCAATGTTCAAGTATTTAACAACCAAACCTCTTCCTATAGACACCTCCTGTTATAAAGACAGACACTAATGATTTTCTCTCTTTGGTGTGCATACTAAGGAAGTTTGACTCTCTTGATGGACACCACTATTAAGGACACCTCTCTTATATGGACATCCAGAGGTGGTCCATCCCTATCTGTAATTTTGGTGAACATATCCCTCAGACAGGCACTTAACAGGTTTCAGAGGCATAAGTCTAATAGAGAGCCGACAAACTATATTTTCAAGCTTACAAAATGATACAAATAAGAAAAAACCTTACATATTTTTAAAAATTCTAACCTCCAAACCTACCATAGACCATCAAGGAGATATCCATAGCTCCACACACACACCAATAAAATACAGCAAGTAAAAAGTTTCTCTGTATGAGAAAATATAAGAAACTGTTGACATTATTATTTTGCAGTCATGTCACGTGTACAGCTGTACAAAGAAAAAAGTATTCAGTGCACACTTGTTACATTACTCCTAAGTGTCACAACAAAAAAATTCAACTACCCTGTACTGGCAATTTTTCTTTAATATTAAAACCTGAATTGATAATTTTATTTTTTTAGATGAACTTAAGAAAGTGGAGTACATCCCATCCCTGACAGATGTCAAGGTCAGCAAATAAATTATTGCATATACTGTCCAGGCATGTAAATAATATGGAACTTTAAAACAGCATAAAATAACCTGATGGAACTAAATTAACAACATACCACTATATGAACCTGTATATTTACAACAATTTTTTTACTTTTACATAATGTGTACACAACATCAACATTTCAACGTTTTTTTTTTCAGAGCCAGAGAGCTGTAAAATCAAGACTAATTAACTTAGGTAAGTTGTGACAAGAAACAAACAGAAATGTTTACATCTTGAGATATTCTAGGCAAATTAAGCATGAAAAGAAAATCATGCACAATAATAAGACTAATCTTATCCACCTCACCCGTCGGTTTTGCGGCAAAGCATGTTTTTCAGCTCTTCCACTCCTTTTATTACCTCTTACTTGACTCAAAAATCTAGGGGCTCTTTTTCATAGTCTGGAGGTGATCAGAAAAAAAAAATAAAAATCATAAACAAAAGTTACCAAAACCAAGTTAAGTTACTAATTTCTACAATTTACTATTTTTAGGAAATAAATTAAGGGCAGAGGAGCAGAAGAAGAAAGAAAAAGCTATGAAGGAAGAACAAAGAAGAGCTTATGGCGCAATTTTACAGCTGAAACAAAGACAACGAGCTGAGGTAAAACTTAAGTTTTTTCTTGATCTCAAAACCTCTCCCCAATGGCCATCGTAGGGACAGAAAAAAGTGGCCTTTATGAAGAGATGATAAAGAGGTGGCCATTGTGGAGTGGATTAAACAACAAGAGTTGATGTACATGTATGGATTATTTGCATGCCCAGCGGGACTAAAAAGTGGCCATGGTGGAGAAGTGGCCACCAGTGGAGGTTCGACTGAATGTCCATTATATGCATTCTTCTTAACCCTTTAAGTCCCAATAGTGACCAACATCAATTTTCTCCTAACAAAATCCATAGATTATCAAGAGCAAAGTGTATGAGAATTAATAGAATGATCACAAAGAGAAGTCTTTGATCTTAAATCAAATTCTCTCAACTAATTTCCTAAGGAAATGTATGGATATCAGTTTGGAGAATTTGTATTTGGATACTGGGGCTTAAAGGGTTAATAAGTTGATAAATGAACATCGGATTAATACATTAATTTATACATTTAATTTGCAAGGATAATTTTTTTTTTCATTTTTCATGATCATTTTCCGTTTTGCTCCAAAATGTATAGCTTTAAAAACAGAACACAAAAAATCCCCCAAAAAAGCTAAATGAGGAGATCAATTTTTGTCTTTTCCCCTGTAATAATTTGTCACATGATATCAATCTTCAGATCAGCCGCAATTTATATAAGACAAAGTCTATGAAGGACATCCAACTTTATGTGGTAGTTATTTTTTTGTCTCACTTATTTTTTATTTTTCCATTGTTTTTGCATATGGTAATGTACGCTAATGAATTTGAAACAAAGAAAAAATGGAAATTGACTAAAATTAAAAATTAGCTGCAGAAAATTTTATAATATACTGCACTTTTCAAAAACACGTGAACTCTGAAGTTCAAAAGCCAACTGACAGTTATGTTTTTCGCTGCTGTCAATCATCTAAGCAGACTTCTTAGGAAAAAGAACTTTACTGATAAACGGGTTCAAAACGTCATGATTTGTGATTTATTCTTGGTGGATTTAGATCCATTTTGTGTGTTTGTGTGTTTCATGGTTTGTTGCTTGTGATTGTAAAAATGATTGACGGCAGCATAAAAAGCAATTGTGAAGGCAACTTTCAAACTTTAGGTTTTGCGTGTTTGTGAAAAGCGCAGTGTAATAGAAATGAGGAAAGTCGGTAAATGAGAAAGGCTAAAAACATGTTTGGGAGAGACATGTCAAGCTTTTCAAATCGTTCATGTGGTTTTGTGTGCTTTTTCCCATGCATCTCAGAGGTTCAAAAATTTTGCTGTACTAATTACCTACAACCTTGACTACAAGTCTCTGATTTTATTCTCCAGTCCCTGTAATAAGGAACACTTTTTACTTCATGACACTTTTAACATTTATAACTGGATTCCTTTGACAGATCTATGCTTTAAACAAGGTGATGACAGAACTGGAGAATGAAAACTTCAGGAAGTTCATGGAGGAAAAATCAGCAGAAACACTTCCTGTATAAAAGTTTTGAACTATTNTCCCTGTAATAAGGAACACTTTTTACTTCATGACACTTTTAACATTTATAACTGGATTCCTTTGACAGATCTATGCTTTAAACAAGGTGATGACAGAACTGGAGAATGAAAACTTCAGGAAGTTCATGGAGGAAAAATCAGCAGAAACACTTCCTGTATAAAAGTTTTGAACTATTTTACACGATAATAAGCAACGTGTTGACCCAAAAAGTTGAAGGGAAGGAAATCCAATGTAGGTGACGACAAGTCGAAAATGGGCTGGGGAAGAAATCAGCTATTTTTAGATGTACATTTATATTTATATTTATATCCATAGCTATTTAAATAGTTTAAAACAAAAATCTAGTATTCAATTTCTTGAAGAAAGAAGTTTATGACTTGTCAAAAAGTCAGATCATACATTTTAAAAGAATGTCCTTTTTTATGTCACAATTCAGAGGCCTTGTGGAGAGAGCCAGTGTCCACATCTGAATATAGGAATTAGTAATGTAGGCTATCAAGCGGTAACAGGGGACTGTAGAATGGTTCCTAGAAAAACGTGGGTGTCAGAAAATTATCTGATCTCCAGTGCCTGATGAACACCCTGCCAGATCCCGAAAATACTCTCCCAGACCCTGTTAAGGTCCATGCAGAGCATGTTGTTGACTTCAAGCTTGGTGAATCATCACCATGACAACATGTTGTCTTGCAATACAGTTTATCAGTTTACAGTCGACTCTCTCGTAATGGACACCGTTATAAGACAGACACCTCTGTAAAATGGACACCTAAATTTGGTCCTTGTCTTTCTTTACATTCTGTAGACTCCCTATAAGATGGACATCTCTCTAAGAAGAACACTAAGTACCGGTTGCAAAGGTGTCTGTCTTAGGGAGAGCTGACTGTAAAACTGAGCTTATTTTTGAAAATAATGAATACATAAGAATGGGAAACATGTTGTTTGAAAATTCAAACTGGGGCCAACCCACATCTCCTTAATGTACTGTAGCTCTTGCAGACTGTCTAGTCATCCCCTGACAGGAGATGACTACTAATTGTGAGGCCCACTTAGGGGTGGAGGGGTTACGTATGTCCCTAGTCTGAATTCAATATTTTAAAAAGCTGTTGTTTCAGCATACTGAGGAGGAAGCCATATGTCGCTGTCGGTATTTTAATAAATTGTATTTGCACTTTTCTCTGTCACTGTCACAGTGTCAACCCATCTTTGTCGTTTGTCGCCATTTCTGCTGTCCTATGTCCCTTGTCAGAATTTTACCCTAACACTACAGGGCCTCACTTGTACACGATTGCTTACAAAATAATCATCCATGACACCTACAAATTAATCTTTGCATATCATTCATAACTAGGTAGGCAATAACTGTATAATTTGAAAATAAACGCAATATTAGACTGTTTGTTGGAGTGCACTGTTCATTATTATGATGATATTTCAGTACTTCTGGTATTTAGAATTTGCAATGTGCCACTCATGTATGTATGTGTACATGCTCCAATTAAAGCATGCAAGTTGAAAGTGAGATCCAGAGACTACAAAGATATTTTTTAGTTGTTTTAGATCCCTTCTTTCTCCACTAAAATAGGCTATTATGAGCTACTATCAATACACTTTAACGTTTTATTGAGATATAAGAACAATCAATCGATAACTTACCGCAAATTTTTCCAGCAATAGTCTGAGACTCTCAACGTTCAAATTGCTACATTTATATTCCCGGGTAAATTTAGCTGAAGGCGCGAATTTCTAACAACGAGCGTCACTGGACAATATAAAAACAGGAGGCCTGGTCGCTGGGAAATGAACCAATCATAGAAGGCGATATAATTTGACAATTCACTGTTCTTGTTCTCTACCAACGCCCCTGACCACAGCCGGACATTACCGAAATATCGCTGGTTATAAATGTGGAATTTGAGGAAAGTTTAGCCTCAAAGTCTAATCCACCGCTTGTACCCCTTTGGAAACCTTCAAGTTAACTTTGGGAAGGTAAAGCTTTTTGATTTTCACCTATTCTAACTTATAATTTGTAGTGAGAGATTCGACATAGATGATGAAGTACTGACTTAAATATAACTTAAATTTAGGATCATATATTATGTGAGCTGCGATTTTTATTGTTCTAAGTATTTTTTTATATTTATTTGGCACCGATCCTATTCAAAGACATAGGTAAATTGAAAAGCTTACGCGGAAGGATCTAGAATTAATATGCTACTGCAAAACCCTGTTGCAAATTTTGCATGTAATTCTAGAGCTAAAGGGAACTTGATCTTAGCTTTTTGTTTTTTCTTTGGAATGCGTCGATCACGCTTTATTCTCGAAGTTATAGCGCTTCGATACCTTTCATAGTGTTCTTAATATACTCTTGATTCGAATATTTTCGAAGTCAGTGAGACTGCAAAAAAAAATAACCCTACTTCCTTATCACTTCTAGAAAGTAGGATGTATTTAAATTATCATCAGTTTAAAACACTTTCCCATAACAGCACGTATAGCCTGACTGGGATCTGATCTGGCTTGAACTTGAAGAGTTTCAGAAAGTCCAAAGCCCAAGTTGAACACCAATTCAGATTTTCTCTATTATTATAACCAGGACCTTGTTCCAGAGGATGTGGTTAGAAGAACAGTATGTTTTGGAAATTTTTAAAAAAAGTTTCTTTGTTTTTAAGGTCATAATTTTTGAGTGGCCAGCTGGAGAAAATGTGAATATGGTAAACAGCCTTAAAAATCTACTTCAGAGGGCCAACATATATAACCTGATTGTAATTTCACTGCCCACGCAAATATCATTTTAACAGGTGTGCTACAGAAACCTCTTCTGGTGTTGGTATATCATTGTTGATCTATATTATTGAGGATGATCTACTCCCACCTAAACTCAGAATTCAAATGCTGAAAATAATAAAAGGCAGATATTGCAGAGTATTTTCACTCGTAAAAATTTCCACTTGTTCAACAGTAATGAATGGTATCTGGTCACCTCGCCACCAAACCATCTTGCCACCAAGAAATATATATCTTAATGCTTATCGAAAGGACAAGGTGCTAAAAAGAATTCTTTCACTTTAAATTTACAATGAAATGTAAGGAGGCAAGATTCGAGTGACAATATTAATCAACTTTTATAAGAGAGGCTGTTGGGTTTTGAACAAATCGCACCTATCGAGCGATGCCAATAAGCCATATTAAGGTATTGAAAAGTTGCAATAATTATTCGAACAAAAAAAAAAGCTAAAGATGAGAAGTTCGACATAGGGTGTCAATTAAAATTGATAAGCTTTTATTTGGGCAGAGTTATTTTGTGTTGGTGAGCAGACCTTTTGGTGGAAAGATGACTGTAAACCTGTCATTATACTTCTTTGTAGGTTGTGTCAATACTGTGACAGGGAGTGTAAAGGTTGTTGTAACATCCTTGAACCTGGACAAGGAGAATAGAGATCATTATAATATCCTAAAAGAAATATGCAAACCATAAAGTGTGTAGTGGTTGGAGATGGTGCTGTAGGAAAAACGTGTTTACTGATATCTTACACAACAAATAAATTTCCAAGTGAATATGTTCCAACGGTAAGTGAGGCACTTTTATACAGCTATTTCAAGAAAGGTTGTCGCAAAAATGTGCATGTGACAATCCTGAAAGGTAATATGGGATATGATCAATACACTGTGTCTGACGACTGTACCTGCCGAACCTACTTTTGCTGCTTTCCTTTAGCACTCGCAAACACATTTCCACGGCCTTTCGTACCAATTCTTTCAAATTTCTTTAAAGAACAGCAAACTTAAAACCACCCACAGTGCTTCGCAATTGTCGCATGCACTTTTTCCGACAACCTTTCTCGAAATAGCTGTATAATGATAAGTTTAACCCACCCAACACCATACAAAATGATGACCTTCTTTAAACTTGAATACAGTCAAAACCCTCTCTACAGACACCTGCTTAAATACGGATACGTCATTATTATGGATAGTATCCATTCGCGCCAGCCTTTACAGTAAAAAAAAAATTCAACCCTCTTAATACAGACACCCTGTTAATTTGGACACTTTCTGTTGCCTCCTCTGTATCTGTATTAGCAGAGTTTGACTGTAGTCATTATAAAGCAGTCTTTTAGCTTTCTGTCTGATACAAAGAACATCTTATTACAAGCCTCAGATTTACATGCCTATGAAAGAGATGTGATCTCTTTCTTTCTTATAACATAGTTAAATGCACCTACTTGCAGCAAATGATACCTATTATGATGTAAACCCAATGCAGCTGGGCAGTCATTAGTAGGCGTTAGCCGGCTTTTTTAGCAGGCTACTGTAGTAAAATCAACCGGCTACTCATAGTTTCAAAGTAAGTCAGACGTTACATGCACAGAAGAATTTAAGGGATAAATGACCGGTTACTTTTAATAAGAGACCAGCTACCTTAAAGCAGCCCTGATACAGGGCTCAAAATGTCCTACCCGGTTATCTAGGAAAAATAGACTTTCTTGCTGGGCAAGCAACTTTTGTTATTCACTTCTCCAACAGACAAAGGTCAAGACAAGCATTTTACTAAATTATAAAGTGAGACAACTATAGAACTTTCCTGGCATACATAACCTGAAATTGCAGCTGTCTCTGTTTGCTAAGGAAGTTTCCTGGTCTCTTGTGATGAAGTTTCAAAATCTTCCACAAAAGATCTGTAGCAAGACTGTAATGCTTCTTCTAAAGAGTAATATCTTTCACGAAATGACTTTTGTTGTAGACTCATTGTGTTTAAACATAAGTACGACCTTCTGTCTTTTGTCTGTCATTCATAAACTGTAGTTAAAACAATATAATTACTACATATTTTACATCATCAGTGTGGAATTTCCATAGTTGAGGTACTGACATCCTAGTGGCAAGGAGCAGGAATTGGCAAAGCCTAAACCCAGACTTACAGATCTTAAGTGCAACTGTTTCTGAATTTTGTCTTCTTAAAAATGTGCTTGTCCCCACGGACAGGTCATGTTGAAGTTTTTCATGTCCAAACTAATTTTCACCTGTCCCAGACAATCGGACATAGGTTTTGGCACGCCCTTATTATTGACGAACAGCTGGGAAGCTTCAAAAGCTATTTGGTTCTCATCACTTCTGACAAGCTAAGACTAATGTAATGTTTAATCACATTTACATAGCTTAAAGGATTTTTAAAGGAGTAGAATATTTTTGTTTACCAGGTGTTTGATAATTATGCAGTCACTGTGATGATTGGTGGAGAGCCTTTCACGTTAGGACTGTTTGATACTGCGGGTAAGAGTATATGACAGCTTAAACAAACTTTCTGTATGCATCTATCTTGGCTGGCATTAAAATTTTCAAATTGCAGTCCCTCAGAATTTTACATAGTGGTCAAATTGTTAAACAAATTCGCTTGTGACTGTTGTGTTTTACCCGATTTCAAACTAAGGGTAGCTGGCCTTTCTTCATACCAATTAATTTAAGGGTTAATTGATCTGACAAGCATTAAGTGTGGAAGGGATGCCAGGTCTTTAGCTGAAAGATGTTTTTGGTGTTTTCTAGTCCTACACAACATTCATTGGCTGCATATGAATAAGCGCTAGGTTTGTGGAGTTCTAAAAACTCATTCAAGGCTTGAATAAACTGATGCCATGTCTGCAAAGTTTAGCAAAGATATTTGGGGGTGGGGGAAGGGGTGTATAGATTCCAAGTTCCCAGCTATGTGCAATTAGGATGGGGGGGGGGGGGCAGGGGACTGAACAGCCAGGGGAACCCCCAGGCCCCTAGCTGCCCCTTGGTGATAGCCTTGGTTTAACTATGAAAAATGGAGAATGTTCTAAACATTCCTTTTAGTTTTATTATGTGCTGGTACTTACCAGTAACTGAAATGCAGACAGTTAGCTTATGTTATTAACAACTAAAGTAAAGATCACAGGTTATCTCAAGTTTGAAAAAGTGTCATGACTGAGTTTTTTTTTCTTCAATAGGTCAAGAAGATTATGACAGACTGAGGCCCCTGTCCTACCCTCAAACAGATGTGTTCCTCGTGTGTTTTTCTGTGGTGTCGCCATCTTCATTTGAAAATGTTAAAGAAAAGGTAGCTAAAATTTGATTGTTAGCCCTTTTGTCCCTTATAGTAACCAATAAAAATTGAAAAAAGCATCCAAAGTCCTTTTGTAAAATTCAAAGATATCAAGAGTACCATGAAACATAGTCTACAGTCAGTAACAAAGTAGTTGAAACACTATTCTCAAATGGAATGACGTCAGAGAACAAAACAGTCCACACCACTCCCCCATTCAAATTTGGGGTGATTGTTGTTTCTTACAGGTAGATGGAACAGCAGCAAAACATTACATGGATGGGGTGTGGGAAGGAAAGCTTCATTTTCCCCTAACCCCAGAAATGCCCTTTAGGGTAAAGTGTCTCAACTAATTTTGTCACCACATTTTGGTACAGAAACTTGTCAAATTCTCATTATGTTGAGAACTCGCCCTCGCCACCACCCTCCCCCCCCCCCTTGACAATTATTTTTAGCTGTTTGTCGTAAAACAGTGACTTTGTTACCTCTGTGTCCTCCATTGCTAATGCATAAAAATCTCCAAAGATGCAAAATGATTCATGGTATGTTTCCGTTAGGACGCAAAGATCAATCAATCAAACTGAACATTTGTATTTGTAGAAATATCCGGCCTCTTCATGTAATTTCTGTGGCAGTTATATTTTTTTTATGGCTGTTTTTTAACGATGCATATTTCTTCTAGCCTTTGTTGTGCTTTAAAATAGAAGGACTATATTTTAATTTCAGTATACTGTAATACAGAGGTTTGGAGTCTGCCCTCAGATTAACTGTCTGGTTACATAAAGGCCCAAGCATTTTCAATTTAGGATTTTGGAACTGGGACTCATTGGTTCTGGACTGGGACTCATGATTTTTCACAAGATGAGTCCCAGGACTCACCATAACAATTTGTAACAAAATCACTGGTAAAAGTGCTGTTATTAATAGTTTTATGGTTTTGTTTTCAGTGGGTTCCAGAGATTACCCACCATTGTCCCAAGACACCATTTTTACTTGTTGGTACCCAAGTCGACTTACGGGATGATGCGGGAACAACAGAGAAGTTGATCAAGAACAAGCAAAAACCCATCACTGTTGAATCTGCAGAAAAGCAAGCACGAGAGCTGAGAGCTGTCAAATATGTAGAATGCTCTGCGTTAACACAAAAGGGCCTGAAAAATGTCTTTGATGAAGCAATCTTAGCAGCACTTGAACCTCCAGAGCAACCGAAGAAGAAAATTTGCTCTTTGCTTTAAAGAGTGGAAGATGTTCGAAGACTTACTCACAGTCAGGACCCAAAACTGAAAAGGACAGGCCTTGGATTAACTTTAAGCAGTACTGGTGAAGCTAACAGTATCTAGTAAACTTGTTACATGTACATTCTCATCTGAAGTACTGGTTTTTCCAAGAGAAACAGTAAGAACGTAACAGATTTTTTACAATTCTACATGAAAAGAAATCTTATAAATAACATCAAGCTCCTTTTTACTGGTATTAAGTGTTTTTTCTTTTTTTTTTTTTGCTAGATTAGTTTTACACATTCAACTTTTTTCTATTATGAACAACTTTGAGGGCTGATGTTTTCATAATAGAAAATTACCAGAATTTTTTTTTGGGTGAAAATTATTTGCAGGGACCTTGCTATTAAGCCAATAAGTATTGTATAAGCCCGAGGCTTATACTATCTCAAGAGGTCTTTAGTGGGTGGTATATATATGGAGGTAGGGGTTAAGGTCAACAATTGGCCCAAATGTCTTTAAACAAGTCAATGGTGAAACATACTTTTATTTCACTGAAAGAAAATATTCAAAATTGCATGAAAAACATAGATTTATTATTATTATTATTATTATTATTATTATTATTATTATTATGTAATTTTATTTTATTATTAAGCACTGTATTTTATTTTATTATATCATTACCTTTATTCTCTTTATTTTTATCTTGTTCCATAGCAAACATAGTTCCACTTTTCATGTCCCTTTGCTTAGTAGTTGCGCTCTTTCAAGTTCCTAGTTGATGAATCCATTCACCCACTAACCAAAACTGCAGCTTGAAAGAGTGGGGTGCCTGTGCTGATCAGCTTAATAAATCACTTAATCTTTAACAAGTTTTAGTAACACTTGGCAACCATCAATGTTGATAATAAGCAGAAGGAATGTGCTTCTGTTTTGTTTTAGAAAATTATGGGATCTCGTATCACTTGTCTGGATCGAACCTTTGCTTGTATGGAATTATTGGTGCATTTTTTACCATAAAACAGCTTTCAAGTTATTGCCACTTGTATTCTGTACATACATATTATAGTGTAAATGCTCTATCATATACCTGGGACTATGGTAGTTTTTTTAGAAGGAAAATTCAGTTAATAACTCAAAAAAGAAGATAACTTGGGCTGGTGAGGGTAGAATAAGATGACAAATATTACAAAATCAAGAGAGATGTTCTTTAATTCAGTGATTATTTAAATTATCTTGATTCAGCATATACTTTTATCTTTGGTAAGTAAGCATGTTCCTTTTCTAGACTTAAAGCTTTACTAATTCTGTTGGGCTAGTAAGAATTGTGCATTTTACAAAAACTATATGCAGTGGGAAGTCAGAGCAATGAGGAGAGCCTCCTCCATTTTTTTTGCTGTAGTCAGTGTCTTTCATCTTGAGGCTGGCTTTATCCCATCCTCGGAGACCAAAGGGGCAGCTAGTTAGGACGATCTTACAGCAAACTTTCACCATGAACATTCTAGGCATCCTAACTAGTTGCCCCTGGGTCTCCGAGGGTGGCTTTATCTACTCTGAGTGCCAGAGACTTTTCAGGCACGGTTTCCAGTGTCAGTCAAGTCATTATCCTGTTTATAGTGACCAGTGCGCTTCGCCGCTCATGGCCGTGGATGTGTCAGCTAACAGCTATCACTAAAGCATCCCGCTGCTGGCAAGAAACATTCTCTGGTACCCAGGGCAGCCTTAGCCTTTTCCAGGCTGGATGATGCGTTAGTCAGTAAGTGTAAGGCACTTGAAAATATGAGCACGTGATCTGGGAAAAAGGGGGCAGTGGCGGGAAAAAGCGAAGGGAGCTGCCCTTCCTCCCCCCAATTTCCTCCCATTTTATTTTTGTGTTCGCACTTTCTCTATTTGCAGACCTGACTGTCTCGGAGCCTGGAACATGCTAGGGTAGCCTATATCTACTTACTAACTCAAATATCCAGAGTCAGCTAGTAGTCTATATTTCCTCCTCCTAAGATATGAAATCTGTTCAAAATAGAATAACCTGTCATTCAGCTGTTAATAGTTTACATTTACTGTATTGTCTGATAATCTTGAAACCAAAGAGAGACAATCAGTTTGGTTCTTATTAGTAGCTTTTGGTTGACGTCGCATGTGATGCGATTGTAAACATCCTAGGGGCTTACTCCTCTGAGTTTGCGAAGATTTTTTTGTAAGGAAGTGAAAAGCCAAACAGTATCAACCTTAGATTTTTCTCTGGTGGATCTTAAATGAAAAGGAATATTTAGCGGTGTGTATATTAATAGATATTAATACAAGCAAAAATGCTTCCAAAATTTCAAATATTATCTACAAACAATTTATTATTGTTATTATTATTGTAAGAGCAGTAAGATATATATTAAATTTTTACAAACAGGCATTTTACACTAGTTTTGTATGCTGTGAAATGAAGGTCCTGGAGACTACAAAAATGTCATTGTTATGTTTGAGAATTAAATGCAAGAATTTATTAAAGAACTTGTTTTAACTTCAGATAGTTCTTATTATAGAAGCTCAAAGATAGCCAGTAGCTATCCCTTGTTACCCTCGACAGTAACTAATAACAAGAAAGTATGGGTTACACCAAGGCCATTCCACCATTCAGGGGCAGATCTAGGGGGAGGGTGCGCACCCACCCCTGAGATGACCTGTGGTTTTCTCATACGACTGGTATTCTGCAAAAAAAAAACCCTTTGGGTTATTGGTGTTGAAGTACAGCAAGAGATGAGTGCACCCCCTCCTAAAACAAAAAATCCTGGATCCGCCCCTGCCATTTATATGACAGTAACTACCTCGACAATAAACTTTGCTCCAATCCAAGTGTACAAAACAACTCGGGTTATTGGGTGGCATAGACCCAATGCAAAAAATGGCTGCTGGATTAAAGTTCTTCTGTCTGAATTAAAATTAACCCGACTTTAGCCTTGTTCTTTAGTACAAAGTTCAAAAGATCACATTATCTCTATCAAGTCTAGTCAGGCTTATTTTAATGTAAACAAAGAATATTGATCCAGCAGCTATTTTTGCATTGGTTCTAGGACTTTCCGTAGGGACAAAGGAAACTGTCCATAATTGACTGTAATACGAACAACAGACACTCTTCTGTGTCTGAAGTCACATATTATCTCATACAACTTGGACCCAACTTTACGGACACTGGTTACATAGTATCCTGTTCGAAAAATTATAGATTTCTATGGGTTAATAAGATTTTATTGCTTAAAAAACAGTAGCGAAATAATGGACATGACTGAGTTTATTCATTCTGATAATTCCATCTTTCTTCCTGTTCAGTTGACCTTTGTATGCTAATACACAAGTGTCACTTCCTTGGCTTTTTGGTGCAGTCATTATTTCTACCCTTCTTCCTTTTTACCTGCTTTATAGTCTTCATGTCAATAGAACATGTATCCGTGACTTTTTTCTGAGAGCCCACTTAATACGAACACCTGGATAATATATTGGACACTATGTATGTCCCCTCAGTGTCCATATAATTCAGAACCGAATTCCACCTGTACTACGGAAAAAGAAAATTAAAAAAATCTTTAAAGGAAAAATAACAGCAAACAATGGGTACTGAAATATGCTCCTGTTACGGTATTTACCGTAAGTATTTTGCTGAAACAGACTTTTACCCGTCCTTTTAGAGCAGAGGAAGTGCAAGACACTGAAAGTGATATTTCTTATTTTATATTCTCGGGTAAATTTAGACATCACAGCATCCTTTTACAACGAAGTATTTGATTGGACAGTTTGAAGCCATGCAAAATGACGAAATAAAAACAGACCAATCACCTTGTGTGATAGAAATTGAGGGCTAAAGCCTCGTTTCTATGGTGCAGTGTGCCTTGAGGGCCCCCGGCTAATTCATAAACCAACGCCCCTGGAAAGCCGGACGTTTCGTTGCAAAAGTGGAATTTCATGGAAAGTAGGCAGTCATAATACTTGAGTAACTCGAAGACTTGGCCGTGTTTCTAGGGTNGTCATTATTTCTACCCTTCTTCCTTTTTACCTGCTTTATAGTCTTCATGTCAATAGAACATGTATCCGTGACTTTTTTCTGAGAGCCCACTTAATACGAACACCTGGATAATATATTGGACACTATGTATGTCCCCTCAGTGTCCATATAATTCAGAACCGAATTCCACCTGTACTACGGAAAAAGAAAATTAAAAAAATCTTTAAAGGAAAAATAACAGCAAACAATGGGTACTGAAATATGTTCCTGTTACGGTATTTACCGTAAGTATTTTGCTGAAACAAACTTTTTCCTGTCTTTTAAAGCAGAGGAAGTGCAATACACTGAAAGTGATATTTCTTATTTTATATTCTCGGGTAAATTTAGACATCACAGCATCCCTTTACAACGAAGTATTTGATTGGACAGTTTGAAGCCTTGCAAAATGACGAAATAAAAACAGACCAATCACCTTATGTGATAGAAATTGAGGGCTAAAGCCTCGTTTCTATGGTGCGATGTGCCTCGAGGGCCCCCGGCTAATTCATAAACCAACGCCCCTGGAAAGCCGGACGTTTCGTTGCAAAAGTGGAATTTCATGGAAAGTAGGCAGTCATAATACTTGAGTAACTCGAAGACTTGGCCGTGTTTCTAGGGTATTAAAGACATTCACACTCCATTACGGGTAAGTAATTTTTCGCTGCTGTAAAGTATTCCTTGTAGTCTATGTCTTTAGGCGAAGAATGATGCTCGCTTGATTTTAACGTGGTCAAGCCGCCATTTCTTTTGGCTGGCTTGATACAGAGGCGATATTTTATAATTGACCTGACTTCTCTTTGCGCGTGGCTAAAAGAGATTGGTCGAGTTTGAGAGATTTTCATAGACCGGGTAGGTAATAAGAAGGGTTTTGGTGGATTGATAATGCTTCTTGGTTTTGTAATGCTTTGTACAAACCTTCATTCCATCGTGGTGTTTATACCGGGAAGAATCCGGCGTTCACTTATAAAACTTTCATTGATCCGAATTCAAACCATGTTGGCCTTCAGTTCGCTGTAACTGGCATGATATAACAGTGCATTATTGACTTCTGATCAACTGTTAATTCAAACGAGAGTTAGGTTTACATTACCGATAATACAGCCTTGTCTTTTCCTCACTGTTTGAATGGTTTGTCGGGAAGTCCGTCAATAAATTTTTCAGCGCGAGAACGAATGTTGTGAATCAGAATGTATGTTCTTTCCTTATGGCATATGTGGTAAAACACATTGGTGCAAAAGCCTTGAACCTTTAAAACAGCGAGAAATTTTTTCCCTTTGTAATAAAATATCTCTTAAAATATTCCTAAGGTTGATTTGCACTTTATTTCAAGTAATCTTGTGCATGTTCGTTCCCGTTGCAGGTTTTGAGAAAAGTTCACGAAACCATAAAAGTTCTAATATTCTAACAATATGCAAACCATTAAATGTGTAGTGGTTGGAGACGGAGCTGTAGGAAAAACCTGTTTACTCATATCTTACACAACAAATAAATTTCCAAGTGAATATGTTCCGACGGTAAGTGGTATATATTCTGTAACCATTAAAATGTCTTAAACATCTTAAGCTCATCCATTTATCTCGATTGATACCCAAGATGTGCCGGATCAGTACGATAGATGTTACTTTTGAACATTGTATTTTGGTTTACTCAAGGATATTTTGATCATAGATGCATGGCAGCCGGTTTTTTATTCTGATTAATCATTGAGTATTTTTGAGACGAATACCCTAATAGTTTCAGGCCGTTTGCTACGCTGAGAATCAAAATTTTGATCGCATTTCATGGTAAAATTGCACTATGAATGTAAAACATTTTTAGTTTCAGTGTCTTGGTCATCAAACTACTTATTAATATTCTCGTCACATCTTAAACTTGTTTTTGAGTGTATATCTTGTTTCAGCAGTTCCATTAGTGCACCTGTTTCCAAAGGGACGATTGTGTTGCTTGTTCAATTTGGTTGCTAAAACATTGTCTTTTGTAAAGGAATCATTCCACAGTGTTTGTTTGTTTGCATTAGTCAATATTTTAACAGTGCAAGAGTTGTACGTCATAAATCTTCAGGGATGTGTTTCTACATACCATACAGCTTATCTCTGTCTCTTAGAAAGACATTTGTATAGGCAACATGTGATGTGCCTTTTAAAGAGATGTCAAATCCTGACATAAAATTTTTTATGGTTATTCTTGGTTCTCTTACAAGCATAGACCCACACGTAAATCCCATTTTGTTTGTTGAAGACATAACAGTCAAGCCTGATTTCCTTATAACTGCTATGATACAATCACTGAAACATATTTCTGCCAGCATAACATTAGCAGTTTACATGAGAAAAAGTAACTGTCAAACATGTATGGTAATATTAGATGACAACTGCCATAGACTTTTAAGTTATATTTTGTGGCCGGTTTCCACATAATGGATCAGACTGGACTTTCAGAAGGCATAGATATCCTGGTGGAATCCAGGCTTGAGTAAAGCAGAACAAAATAAAACAAATAAAGAAGCAAACAAAATGGCATACATCTGCAAATAACACTTAATGTTCAGGTGTATTGTATACATCTGCATATAACACTTAATGTTCAGGTGTATTGTTAAAAATAGCAATAGTGATAGTGGTTTTTAATGCACTAGATAAGAAAGTAAGCTGAACATTTGAATACTGTTGAACCTTTGTACGGTCAAAACCCCACTTTACAGGCACCTGCTTAATACGGACACCACAATATTAAGGACAGTTTGCTTCAACCCTGGGATAAGAAGGCCCCTACGTTTTCTCTAAATTCAACCCAATCTTCAAACATGCACACATTCCATGGCCTCGATTAGTGTCCATTTTAATGGGATTTGACTGTGTGACAGTCATGACGTTTGATCCTTTTGGTATCATTCTTCACGTAAACGCATACTTCTGCGCATGAACAAACTCTGTTTACATCTGTTTAGAAAAATGACTGAAATATAGCATTCACACAACCAGCTAACTAAAGTATACCATAAGTCACTGGTTCTTACATTTTTATTGAGATTTCTTGATTATTTTCTGTTTATGACATTAGTAAAACTTTATAGTTGCCTCTTCTTTCGCGAAAAAAGTAACTGACTTCTATAAGCAAAGTAGCCTACCCATTTCATCGGCTGTTGGTGCTTATGGAAGATTAAGTCTGTGTTTGTCTTTCAGGTGTTTGATAATTATGCCGTAACTGTTATGATTGGTGGCGAGCCATACACACTAGGGTTGTTTGATACTGCAGGTAACTATGGCTTCCTTTACCGTCGATTTTATCACTTCACAATTGTCACTTAAAGGTGGCAATATTGATATGTATAATATACAACTATCCACTGAAGGGGAGGTGTTTAGTGGTGGAAATATACAGAGACGTGAAGTGTCGAGGTATATATCTAGAGCTGTTCACCAACCCTGAGGGGTGTAGTTATTTTAGTATTTACCTAATCTGTTGGATAAAAATGATAAAAGTAACTTTTTGTAACTGAAAAATATCACTTAGTAGGAACTTTATTCACAATTTACAAACATTTCAGGGATTTTGTCAAGTGCATTTTTAATTTTTTGTTGCAAATTCAGCGTGACAATTTTCTATCTATAATGTACCAATAAACACCGACAAACCAAAGTTCATCGCTTTCTGTTAGTCTGCTACACAGCCATTTTTGGTGTCGTCACGCAACGCTCCTGCCCACTAACGGCTGCTGAAAATCGAACCACATTCCTTTCCCACGATTAGCCAATTAGAATTCAGCTCCCATTTTCTGGAAGGTGTTTGCGCCACGTTTGCGGTATGGTGACTCCTCCAATCACAGCTTTGCTTTTATCATTGCCCCATGTGTGAATGACAGAACAATCAAAATCGTCGCGTGAAAACAAGCAATCAACTAGAGTAGTGTTGTCATAATCAAGTCCTTTCAAATTTTTTGAGATATGCAGCAACCGCAACCAAGTTGAGCAACTAGTATGCACAACATGGATGTGCTTATAAAGTTGCCGGGTATAGTTTCAGGAAATCGCTTCCCGATAATTTATAAGATTGCTTTTGTTTGAAACAGTACCCCTGAGAGTTTAATCTTCACAGTCTTCACATGTATAACAACACAATGAGCACATCCAGCACATGAAATTCATCATACATATGCACATTAAAAAGAACCAACCAATCCTGGTAAGAGTCTTGTAGGCCTACCAAACCTTTTTTTTTTCACTTGGAATTTTGTTAACCGCTTAAAACAAACTTTTCTGCAAACAACCTTTTCATTGCTTCCAGACACAGAGCCCATCAAAATTCAGCAACTATTGATTGATTTGTCGAGAACTGAGAAGCGTGTTCGCTCCTAGCGCCCTGCGGCTCACGTATTGTCAAGTTTCTTATACATGATTGGTTTGTTTGTGAGACCACAAACACAAAGGGAAAGGAATGTGGTTTGATCTTCATCAGTCGTTAGTGGGGAGGAGCATTACATGACAACACTAAAAACTGCTGTATAGCAGACTAGGTATTTGTTTGTACGACCGCTTCATGTTTTCCTCAAATTCGGTCTTTCAAAAATATCTCAAAACAAGACGCCATCTTGGCTCCGGTCGCATAACGGTGAATAGCCAAGGATATTCTGAGTTACAGGAGCCAATCAAAATGCGCAAAAATTGCTATTCACTGATTTGGTAAATACTAAAGTAAATTCATTGTTTGTTAACTATGTTGTACGTAGTATGATTGTGGTTGAAATTGGGCAAATAACTCAGAGCAGGTTTAAGAAGTCCTCTGGAACTATTTTTCATTGTTACCATTAATGTGAACTGAAGTAACATGTGTATTTGTTTTCTTTTAAAAATCATTATACTAGAGTACAGGTGTAGCCCCAACCTTTGTGGCCCTCACCTGTCATTTGTTAATGAGGCCTATTTTTCCCCCCAAGCAATGATGCTTTCCTCTTTGATAATGGCAAGCATTATTAGTGTATTTACATGATGCCCTTTTTAAGCTGACTGATAAATAAGCATAGGTCACAATGTCAGTGTTTGGTTGAGCAGTCTTGAGTATCTTTTTATTTCTTAAAACCATCTGTGTCCCTTACGGTTCGCACCACTCTTTTGCATTAATTTATTTTTCCTTATTAATTATCTTCCCTTCAACAGTCTTCATTATTTTACAGCTTCTTCATTGTAATCTAACAACATGACCGTTATCATGGAGGCACACGACAAAAAAATTTGCATGAAGGTGACCTCGTTTGCTCTATAGAGATGGCTGTTTCGCAGAGGTCAAACATGTTATTGTAGGAAGCAAATTCTAGGAATTTGGTCAGTAACCGCTTACTAGAGAGTGACTGCTTAACAGAAGGCTACAAATTTGAGGTTTGACTGTTAGTAATTGTTCATTGTTTTTATTCATTAACAGGTCAAGAAGATTATGACAGGCTGAGACCCCTTTCCTACCCTCAGACAGATGTATTCCTTGTGTGTTTTTCTGTAGTTTCACCAGCTTCATTTGAAAATGTTAAAGAAAAGGTAAGGGCCTGATCTGCCAACCCTAGTCTTTTGAAACTGTCATTGACTTGTAACATCTTTAAGGCAACAATGGTTAAGATGTAGTGTCAAAAAGTCACAACATTTACTTCAACAAATTAATATTGTGACTGCTTAGCTGGGCTTCCATGCCATTCTAGAAATCAATTTATCTGCCACGAATCATGTGTCAGGTAACCTCCAGTGCAGACTCAGGGGGAGAGGGTAGATTGAGGTATTTGAAAAGATGCTTACGGGCTCTTCACTTCTCTCTTCCCGCAATTTTTCACTTGTTCATTATTTCACAGCTCAGTCGCTTTAACAACTTGTCGGCACTGACGGAGAGCCTGACACAGGTTACATTTTGCAGGGACAGCAGTAGTGGCATCACCAAATTTCTGCTGTTTTCTTAGGCTACCACTGCTTTGGCTCTGTGTGTTATATGCAGGGTTCCACATTCCTTGAAAGTCCTTGGAAGTTGTTAAATTTTAAAATTTTAATTCAAGGCCTTGAAAGTCCTTGAAAATTGCCAGTGGGTCTGGAAAGTCCTTGAATTTCAATGCTAACTTTATAGTTTAAGTAGAACTTCAAAGTGAAAGGAGCAAACACTAAAAGACCTTCAGGATGAAATTACTCATGTTGTGGAAGAGCTAAAAAAGGCATAGACTCAAGGTTCATTTTTGCACTGAATGGAGAAATGTCCTTGAAAAGTCCTTGAATTTTTTGTTCAAAACCTTTAAATATATTTGCGTTTGACAGACACTAGTAGCAAGTTTTCTTCCATTTCAGTGGGTTCCAGAAATAACCCATCACTGTCCGAAGACACCGTTTTTACTTGTTGGTACCCAAGTCGACTTGCGTGATGATGCTTCAACAATAGAGAAGCTAGCCAAGAACAAGCAAAAACCCATCACTGTTGAATCTGCAGAAAAGCAAGCACGAGAGCTGAGAGCTGTCAAATATGTAGAATGTTCTGCATTAACACAAAAAGGCCTGAAAAATGTCTTTGATGAAGCAATCTTAGCAGCACTCGAACCTCCAGAGCAACCGAAGAAGAAGAAATGTACATTGCTTTGAATAATGGACTGGTACATGTAAATTGATGTGGAAAATGACACTTACAATCTTGATTTGGGACAAGATTCTGTTTGTCCACACACCTAGCTATACAATGAATGCTGTGTAGAACTGGAGTGGATTAATACATAGGTTTTCTAAACAGAAGCTGTGTAGATGTACCATTCTCTAAAGAAAGAGTTGTAAAAAAATGTCTGAATGTTTAAAGTGAGAGCCAAAGACTATGATTTATTTGTTTTGACTTTTATGGCACTAGCAGAGGTTCTTGCTTGTCAAATGAAACTCTCTTTCTTTGATTCTGCTTTGCTGTTTTAATATTATGATATAAATTATATCTATCGTCACTTGTAGAAGCATAATAACCTCTTGATAAATTGAAAGCTGTGGCATTAGGCATGTATGGGTATTTATCGTGACAAACAAGAGTGTTCCAGAATCAAGGCAAGACTAGTACAGGTCCATTAACCTAATTTTTGTTTTCCCATGATGATAAATTAAACTGGTACCTCTGTGTAACCCAACTTGCCAGTTACCTGACCAAATCCTTCAGTTCCTTGATCCAAGCAAGGTAGCTAATCAAAAGTGCTGAATATTGCTGTGGAATTTCATTGTCTTCTATTAGTATTGTATATTATTTTGCTAACTTTTCATGTAGCAATGGGTAGCTGCATGATATGTGATTTTGTGTTTTGTTGGCAGTGGATTTATAAAAATATAAGTTATTGCGTCAATCATTCTAGTATCAGTCAATAACCATTCATGACCTTCTGTTGACTTGTTGGGAAGGCCTAAGCTGCTATAAGCTTTTCTTTCTCCTTTAGTGATTGTCAAATTCTCCANAATGTTTAAAGTGAGAGCCAAAGACTATGATTTATTTGTTTTGACTTTTATGGCACTAGCAGAGGTTCTTGCTTGTCAAATGAAACTCTCTTTCTCTGATTCTGCTTTGCTGTTTTAATATTATGATATAAATTATATCTATCGTCACTTGTAGAAGCGTAATAACCTCTTGATAAATTGAAAGCTTTGGCATTAGGCATGTATGGGTATTTATCGTGACAAACAAGAGTGTTCCAGAATCAAGGCAAAACTAGTACAGGTCCATTAACCTAATTTTTGTTTTCCCATGATGATAAATTAAACTGGTACCTCTGTGTAACCCAACTTGCCAGTTACCTGACCAAATCCTTCAGTTCCTTGATCCAAGCAAGGTAGCTAATCAAAAGTGCTGAATATTGCTGTGGAATTTCATTGTCTTCTATTAGTATTGTATATTATTTTGCTAACTTTTCATGTAGCAATGGGTAGCTGCATGATATGTGATTTTGTGTTTTGTTGGCAGTGGATTTATAAAAATATAAGTTATTGCGTCAATCATTCTAGTATCAGTCAATAACCATTCATGACCTTCTGTTGACTTGTTGGGAAGGCCTAAGCTGCTATAAGCTTTTCTTTCTCCTTTAGTGATTGTCAAATTCTCCAGTAATGTACCTGTTATTAGTAAGTATGCAGGAAGAGCAGGATTGTAAGGTTCAATAGTATTCCCACTGTACTGGAAAGCTTTCATGTTGTCTCATTTGCTTTTTTGTGTTCACACATGAAATGCCATTTTTCAGCAGCTGCATGGCAGTTTTAATCAAACTGAAAAACTTTGTACCATGTTGAAAGTTTTAGGCTTTTGTTTTATGTTGTTGTTTACATTGTACCATATCAGTTTTTGTGCTGGCACAAAAATCCTTGTGGTATAATGTGAACAGTGCATGAATGATGAATATTATCTAGAAGGAAACAAGAGCAAGATTTGGTGCAAGTTCACACTTGTGACAGTTATGAGCACCCACTGAAGAGATGGAGGTTGAACACTCGTCATCGCTTAGGTCTTGCATGCAGTAATTATTTTGCTAGAAAATGTAAAGTAATATTATTGGATGGCCTTAAATTCTTGGTGTGTTGAGATGTTGAAATTGATAATTTTCCTTCATGTAAAAAGGATCAGTTATAAGCTATTGGCTGCATCTCGCTGTCCTCTTTTTTTGACCCTTAAGTCCCGATATCCATGTACAAATTCTCCAAACTGTTCTCAATACATTTCCTAAAGAGAGTTTAGAGAATTTAATAAAAGACCTAGAGCTGCAATTCCCCTTTGTTAATCACTTCGATAATTCTCACAACTATTTCTCTTGAAAATGTATTTAAATTGCTAGGAGAAAATTGATGTTGGTCAAAGTTGAGATTTACAGGGTTAAGCTCTGGCAATTTAGTGGAAATCTTGTAGTGCATCCATTGCAGTCAATGGCTTGACTATTTATTTTATTGAAGATTATTGTGTTGAATTCTAATTTGACCAGTTGTGTGCTTACTAACAATACTTTTTACAACTAGATACATTCAAAATGGTACAGAAATATTAAACGTGAACAGCAACTTTAAAAAATTAAAGGAACCTGGTGTTGATGAATACCAAATTTTGTAGATGTTTGTGCAATAGGGCAGTTGCATGATGATGTCATTTGACAATAATACCCAGAATCCCTCAGTCTGATGTGTTTTGTGCATTTTCTTAAACCTTGGCATGGATGAGAACTTTAAATAATATAGGGAAACAAAATGATTTCTGGTCACTGTAGTCAGATGACATTGTGAAAATGACCTATTTAAAGGTATAGGAACAACATGTTGAGAATTCTTGATATCAATAAACTAATTGCAAATGCATTTTTTGTGCCTAGTGTATTTAACGACAGTTAAAAAATTTCAAAATTTACAAGGATGTGTATGGAAAGCCTCTCAAGCGTGACTGGGTGGCAAGAGTTGTTTTTCTCATACAGATCCTTCTAATTTTCAGCGGCCGTTGCAGTTGCTACTTTGAAATATACGGCTGAAAATTTACTGGTTACCAAAATTTGATATGCTCTTTCAGCTCCTGCTAACAAACTTTTCCAAAAGCGAACTATTTTTGTGTTTACAGAAAGTTGATCACGTGACCAATTATTGCCAAAAAAAAAAATTGGGGGAATGGGAAGTTTGGGTGAGGAGTTCCTCTGAGGCCTTAAAACTTTGACTTTTGCTACCATGTCTAACCCTTCAAGCCCAATATCCAAATACAAATTCTCCACACCAGTGTCTATAATTAGTCGAGAGAACTTGATAAAATATCAAAGCATTTCTCCTTTGTTCATTGTTTTTGTTAATTCTCCTAACCTTTTCTTTTGATGATGTCTTTTATATAGTTAGGAGAAAATTCATGTTGGTCACTCTTAAGACTTGGATGGTTAAAACACGAGACCATTTTTTTATGACCGTTATTCCTTTCATTTTGAGGAGGAGTTTTTAAACAGGTCTGGCATAATAGAATGACAGTTCTAACAAAATTGTTTGTTCCAGACATGGCCAATCTTGAACCCCTCAGCCTGCTATAGAGTCAAGACCTCCACAACCATACCCGGCACATCCTAGCTTAGGCCCAGATAAGGGAGTGTCTCCGCCCCTCTTAGAGTTGTATTGCTTAGAGCTGAATTGAAACCTACTGTCATCAAACTGCATCTTTAGTTTAATCAAAGCTGTCCCATGAGAGCTCCACTCAAAGGCCTTTATCAGCTTACCCTCCAGGGCCAGATTGTTCAAACCCTGGGTTGCGCTATCCAGCGGATAAGTATCTGGGAAACCAATTGTGCTATTCACTGGATAAACAGTTACCCAGTGGATAGTGTTATCCCCCATTTGAACAACTAACTGGGCCAGTAGAGTAAGAGTGAGGTGCTCTGGCCTCCCACGTTAAAGGAATGGGAGACAAATGCATCTGCACGTAGGCTATCTGACGTTTTTTGTTGGTTCTAATTCTAAGGTGTTATTAATTCCTTGTAAATTACTTAACATGCATTGAGTATGGTCTTGGACATAATCACAAAAATAACACCAAATTTCCTGTATGAATTAAGTCATTAATAAAGTAGTACC